TCCCTCTGTGCTGCATTTTGTAAAAATTGCAAAGGTGATTTCATTTTATAGCATAAAACATCTTTCTCTTTTCTGTTATAACTAAAATCACCTCAGCAGTGCTCGTTACTAGTGTAGAGCCCTACACTGTAATTCAGCATAACTCTTTGTCAGCGCCAGGAGTGAACTATTCCCACATCTGAAGATTTCTTAAACCTTTAAATGAAAGGTCTGAAGACAAAACAAAAAACAACCCAAAGCCTCTAAGATTTATACTTTAATTTCCACTATGGAGGACAAAGAAATATCCTTTCAACAATTTAACTATTTTTCCTGCACAGAAAACCCACATTACATATTTCACATCTAATAGTAGTCATTATATGCCATTTGGCCATGAATTCCAGCAGTTAAAAAGCAAGACTGGGTGATTATAATGTTGCTGTGCGGAAAGAAATAACAGATAACAGGACTTCCCTTTGATAAAACTTATAATTTAGGTGGTTACTTCTGGACAAAATTACACAAATTTTTCAATCTGGTTTAAACTATTCTTTACTTTTGGCGGGGGGGAACAAAAGAAGTTTGATTCATATATATACACACACACACACGCACAACTTTTGTGCCCCCTGGTGTTGTAGCTTGCAAAGTGTTTTTTTGGTCTTGGCAGACTATATTTACTGTTGTGTTAATAGTAATACTGCCCCGCATTCTTTTAAATGGTATATGAGTGATCTAAAGGTCATTGGATTTGCTTCTTATATTGATTTCACAAAATTTAAAAAGAAATAAAAGGTAAACTGGTCAAGACTACAAGGAGATTTTCCATATTAGGTGTGTTCTATAATTCTACCTATATGCAATCATCTTCACTTTAATAATGACTGTTAGGTTTTTTGATTACAGCTTTTTCTCTAGAAAACTCACCTCATCATCATCCATCAAATTCTGCTTTGCAAATTCATACATTTCCAACTGGAGTGTGGTTATGTTGTGGTATCGAACTGCATCCTATAAAACAAACAAACAAACAAATTGCTGTCTTATTTTACAGAGAGAGAGAGGAGTGTCATCACATGTGCTTGAAACAATTCCAGTGAAACTAGATCCAGACTCAGTAGAAAGTACATCCTGGGGATGGAGGGTTAAAACATTTGGGAAAGGAAACAGCAGAACAGCAAGCAGTTTATCCAAGATCTTCCGTGGATGCTTCTAACCATAAGCACCAGTGGTGTGAGAAGAACAAAGCACTCTCCTCTTTCTCGTGTTTCAAAGCGTTGGCTAGCATGGAAAAAAAAGGAATGAGGCTGCGAGAGCCCAGCAGCAGCCCGAGCCTGCGTTCCAGCGGGCCCAGGCAGTGAGGAGGCCTCGGTCTCCCTGCGTGCTGCTGTACGGCAGCGGGCGGTCCGGGAAAAGGGGCACTGAGCTATTCTGCATGACACCGATTCACTCTTCCAGCCTGACTAGCCTGCACCATCCGTCTGTCCCTGCTCTCTGCCTCAGGTTGTTTGTCTGGGCAGCGTAGTCTAACTCAGAGTCAGCTACCCCTATATTTGTAAGCACTGCCCATCTACTTTGCTTATCCCCTTTGCTTATCCTCTTTCAGGGCTAAAACCAGGAGACTCTTCCACAAGGACACCCTTAGGGCCAGAACCAAAGGCTTTTCTGAAATTAAGTGAGAGGCATTATGCTTTCTCTGGTGACCAGGACAGCAAGTGACTTCTGTTTCTATTTAGACGGATCAAAGTACAAGAAAATACAGATGTGTGCATTTAATATTTTATATTTAAAAATTAAATTATCTGTAATCCCCAAATCCTGAGAAATTATTGATGAAACATTCAGAGTTAATGAATGTTGTTCTGTTCTGTCGTTCTTGTTGTGTCTTTTCTGCACACGTGTGCCAAATCCGCTTGTGTTTTGATGTTTTATACTGTTGCTAAATCCCTCCTTCTCACCAGTGAGGTCAAGCATTGTCTCCAGTATGACTACAAAGTGCAGTTTTATTCTGAAGAGTAGTGGCATCCAAGTGGTCCCTTTCCCATGCAAGTGCAGACCCCCTACTACTGCCTGAAAGTACCAAATGAATTTTCATTGCATTCTGCCTCTGAGGCAGATGGGGATTTCCTGTATGCAGATATGGCGAGTCTTGCACCTAAGTCAGCAACTGTCCACAAGCAAAAAGCACTCAAAAGGAGCAATATTTTTGTCTTGAGATGGCTGTCCCGAGAGAAAGCAATGTGCAGTCCTCAAATGACTCTTCTAACTTGGATAACTGGATGCAATATGGCCACCCAGCTTTGTTCTAAACTGAGTAAGTGGAAAGTGGGTTCAGTTAGGGTTATCTTACCCAGACAATTCCAATGCCAGCAGAACCTGAAATAACAAATAGGCAAGCAACTGCACCTTGGCAAATAACAAATGATTGATATCACGAGTGACTGGAGTGAACTTTTCATCAGGAGATTGCAGTGACCAGCTATTTTACTAATCTGGGTTGATAAGGACACAGACATACCATGTGTCTACCATGTGTGGTAGACAAGGGTCAGTGAGAATTTGCTCCTTCTATTGTATCTTATTTCAGCATAAAGGGAAAAACTATAATAACATTACACAGTATATTTCTGTGCACACTCTCCACATGGTTTTAATAAAACAGTTGCTTTTAACACCAGAACCTCTAGATAACTTTTTTACTACCCACTGGTTTCCAGGGCATGTGCCCAGAAGGCATTTTGAATCATTCACCTACCGATCTGGGCTGAAAATCTTCTTCCTTGAGTCCCCATTTGTCTTTATGGTATTGATAATAGACCATGTTCTGTTTCATTACTTCATCTTTTTGGTCAAACAGAAGGTAACTAGCAGCACAGGAGGCTGCATTCTTCATGTCATTCACTAATGAAGAAAAGGAGAAACAAACAAACAAAAACAGACAAGGTAAATGAATAAAAAGGGCAGAAAAACTTTGCCCAGAAAACCTCTGATGGAAATAGGACCAATTCTTCACCTCCTCACCAGCTTCACTAAAAAAATAAACAAGCAATTGCTTCCCAGAAAGAATACGCTATTTTTCTGTTCCAAACCATGAAAGGCCACAGATTTGAAAGTGAGGACTGCTTACAAGCCTGTAATGGCAGTAAGGGCAATATGTGTTCTTCACAGTGCAAGTATCTCCTCATGAAACTACATAATTCATTGAATGTTTTATCTATCAAATATACAATCACTGTACACTAGCACACTATAATTTTCCTTCAGTTCCCTCTTTCTTCAAAACCCATCTAGCCCCATGTGCCTCCATTCAAACATGATTACAATAATTCACTAGGAAAAGAGGCGATGCTATGAGAAACTCTCATGAGCTCCTCTGTGGAAAAAAAAATCTCACTAGTAAATCAAGAACTGAATATTCATTCAATGGCTGGTGTTGTGTTCAAGGTGTTGCCTTGAAATCAGTTTTTCCTTCTTCGCAGCTGAATCATGGAAGCTAAAAAAGTTCTTGTTAGAACTATACATTCAGCTGTTTAATAAGCATGCGGGCCTAAAACCTTGACCACCATGGTGGTGTTTTTTTTGTTTGTTTGTTTTTAGTAACAGTGTCACCACTTAGTGGCTACAAAATGAGCCTGTGTTATTGCACGGGTGTATTCCAGTGAGCTTGTGTTATTGCATGGGTGTATTTCAATGAGTAGGAAGTGGCTGATAATCTTTACCCTAGGGTGTCACATAATGAACTACTTCAAAATGCCAGAAGAGCTCATTTCAGTACCTAAAACAGACATGATGAAATTTCATCAGTTATATGAAGCTCTGAAAGGGAAAAGTAACTTGTTCTTCCAGTGGCTATCGTAAAGAAGGATGGGCAACATGTTACACCCTATCATCACACTTATTCTGTAACCATTTCATTTTTCCAAGTGAGACCAGTCACAAACACATATGAAAATGGAGGGGCTTGGGCCTGAGCAGTATCCAGCCTTTATGCGACCATATTCAGCAATTTAATTTGTCATTGATAATTTTATGAGCAAGGGAGGAATACATAAGTTTCTCTCACATGTCTGTTAACTGCAGCTATACAGCAAGAAAAAGACCCCAGATATCTCATGAAAGTCCCAGGAAAGGTTAAAATACAGATTTCGGAGACTATTATTTACATTCCAAAGCATTGTAACTAGAGAGAAAAGACTCTCAAGGAAACTTTCGCGCATTATCCAAATGTTATTTAAGCCCATAAAATCACTACTCACATTTATAATAAGCAAACTGTAAGTAATGGTACATGGTTGCCACAAATTTCTCGACAACAAAGCCTCCTATAATGGGTGTCAGATTGCTCTCACACTGAATTTTGCATCCAAGGACTTCAATATAATGATCTAGAAGGAAGAAAACACAGGAAATGGATGGAGCACAATGAATTATTATATTCCCTCCCACTAGCTACACATTAAGCTTTGGCCTTTAAAAGCTCTCCTGGGTCCTATGCAGCTGAGGCAGCCGCTTGGAAGTACCGAACATCTACAGTTCCATCTGAAGCACATATCAAGTGCTGCTACTCAGCCCTTCTGTAGAAGTCATTAGGGTTTGGATTTCAAACGTATCAAAGCTGCAAACCAAGAGAACTAATAGCTATGCTTCACTGACACCTACAGGCAGTTCGCCTTGTAGGTTTTTTATAAAGTGTTACAGAGTACTGCATTATTTCATGTGAACTTAGCGGGGCTATCTTTTGATGTTTGACAGTCTTTGTAATTTCATTAAACTGTTGCATAAGTAAGGTCTACACACTGCTGAGTACAACACTCTCACAGAGAAAGATACAAGATAATCATCTTGTAACCCTCCAGAGATGGCAGCATTTGTCCCAGTTTGTATGTTTTGAAGGGGAAGACAGACACAAAGATGCTGCTCAATACAGAGCAACTCTCAACCAGAAAGCTTTGAACATCAAGCTCACACACTTACCCAGCCTACAAAAGCTTGGTATAATAGGATAGGTGATCTTACCTTCGAGAAAATACATTCCTAGAAAATCTTCCGTGGGAGAGCTTCCAAGACTCCCCAGGATGAGTAACTTTAAGCAACAACACCTAATATACATTTTGAAGCCTGGGTTTCCCTATTTGCCACATGTGGTAGGTTAAGCAAGTTATACTAAGGTTTGCAGCAAGCCACTGGCAAAAACAGTGGAAGAACAAAGGCTCCTTCCCCTGTTTTGATCTCTGGCAAATACTAGCATGAAGAACTTTGAAGCTAACTGAGTGTTTGGCCAAATTAAATTGCTAGGATTTTACAAGAGCATTGGAATCTCCAAACACAGTAGTGTGTGCTTCCAGCTAGCACTGAAGCTTTTTATCACTGCAAGTAAATTTGAATTTTCTTACCTCACAGATGAGGCTAAAATACTTAAAATAAACATGGCCCTGAGGATACCATGTGGTACTGCCACATCTTCCCACCATTATTGCTAGAATTGTCCTTTCATTCCAAGCCAGAAGACGAAGGGTGATGGTAAGCAACATTGCACAGCTGGACATGGACACAGCAGAGGACCCATGGTTACTCTTTACAGGAACTTGGGAATTATCTGGATGGCAGCGCTCTGGGCTACTTAGGGAGAAAGCTTGTGTTCATGCTTTCCTGCCTGTGATGCAACCTCCATCCCTCTTCTGGTGTCTTAAACACCTGCCTGCTTTGCCTACAACAAATCAAGGCTTAGGGAATAGCCTGCAGTAGTCATTCCATGTTACCTATACAGGTGGACAAAGGCTGTACACTGAGATATTGAAGAGCTGTTCTTATGTTGACTTATTTGACAAAAGTTCCTTCCCTTTAGGGCAAAACCTTGGGCTTGTTTCGATCTTGTCAACTTGGAAATTCTGTTGCATTTTTCATGCTTTAAAATGTAATGAAAAAAACCCATGCATTCTCCACACAAATATTGCAAACAACACTAAGCCCAGAGCTTTGAGAAAATAACCTGTTTCTTTTGCTACTGAAAAGCACGGGAAATGCATACGTGCCATTTTGACAACAATCATGAAAGGCGATATCCCTCTTCCTTTGCAACACAGTGAATTTTCTGAAGTTACATATCTGTGAGCAAAACTGTACTGCAGGACAGATTAAAAAAGGAGCAACAGAAATTTGTCATATTTACCAGAAAGGAGATATTGACACCAGTGATGCTGCAATCAGATGCTTTTTTTGGCAGGCAAGCTAAACACTGAGCTTCAAATTGATAATGAAATTATGGTCTAGAGATTTGACTGGATGGAATAGTTGTTACTATTTATACATCCATTTTATTTTTACACACATTAAATTCCATTTAATCTTCTGACATCCTCCTCATATATGTTACATTAAAAAAAAAAGGTAAACAAGAATTCAATCAGTTTTTAGTAGCTCTAATACATTCATATTGGCCTACACTGAGCAGGGGGTCCTGATAACTCAATCTAAGGATAAACTGAAATGCACTTTCAGCACATTTTCTTTTCTTACCATTCTCACCTACCCACTCACCTGCAATGGAGAGATAGAACTCTTTAAAATCTTTGATCTCCCGGGAACCTTCACAAGCTGCTGTGCAGTCGTCGTAGGCTTTGAAGAATTCAGGAAGAGCCAGCTCCATGTCCGAGATGGACGTTCTCCAGTTGTCACCGTTGTATGCTCTCACAGCCCTCACAAAGAGATTCTGAAAAAAGGGCAGGAGTGTCAACTAGTGGGAAGTTATCTGTGAAAAGCTGTGTGGAAATGTTGGAACATCGAGTACCAAATGTCTTTTCCTTTGAATTATGAGAATTCGAACACAGTAAAAGAGATGGCTGTATTTCTGAATTACTATATAAGTAATTAACAAGCTGTTATTCAGTTTACATGAGGACAACAAACACAGATGATTAAGGGATTTTCCCACATATTTACTGGTAGGGTATGTAATTCCATTTCAGATTAATGGAAAAAAACTGCTAGACAGAGGTAGCTGTGTGATTCTAAAGCAAGGATTTTGATGAAGATTTTCCATGCAGTCTGAGCACTAAGTATCTTAAATATTTTAAGCTGTGCTGCTGCAGCACTCACACATTTGAATAACCCCATACTGTATGTGTGTAACCTCCTTAGCTGTATGTGATTTGCTGAGACTTATAGAGCAGTGAAAAGCACAAGAGGTGGGAAATACTGAATGTGTGAAGAAGGCAGAACAGAGGTGACTGAGAAAAACGAGAAGGAAAGTAGCATAAGACCTGAGAATATGTAGGCAAACTAGATCATTGAATCTCACACTGTAAGATAAGTAATAAAAAAGTTCCCAAAGACCAGATATGAATAAAAAGCATACCTCATAAGGCTTTGTTTCCAAGTCCTTAATATGCTCCTCAGCATCAGGCATAGTCTTATAGTAGGCCATATTTCTCTGCATCATTTCATCATCTGGATGCTTCATAAGAAATGTGTGAGCTGCTGCAATAGCTTTTGGAAGGTTATTAGCCTAAACAGGGATTGGAGGCAGAGGGGGAAGGGGGAAGGAAGAGGAAAAAAAAGGCTAATTGAAAAAGCAGCCTCAGAGTTTCCCAGTGTTTGTCAATAAACTTTCCTTCAGTCTCTGTTTTCCCACACTTTCACTGAAACCAGAGTCCTGGTGGATACAAAGTATCATAAATCTGATATTCTGCCTCTCAGTACTGCTACTACATACACCACTGTGAACATTTCATTCTCTTTTTCATTTTAAAAGCCTATTATCTACATACACCACTGTGAACATTTCATTCCCCTTTTCATTTTAAAAGCCTATTATCCCTGAAAACAAACAAACAAACAAAAAAGACCCACACTTCTTTCCTCTCCCGTCTCCGTTGCTGATAAAGGTGTCAAGGTACAATACCATCCTGTTGTTCCTGTGCAGGATAAATCACACATCAATTACTGATGTTAACCCATAGACACTGGGAAGGAGTCATCACTTACCACGTTTTCATGGCATTTCATGGCTTATTTGTGTAGCAGAATAGGGGAAAATATCACAATAATGTACCTTCTTAATGATGGTGTAAACTTACAAACTGCATCTATTACACATTTTTAAACTAACCATGTTGCAAACTTTAAATTACAGATACTTTGTCAAGTATGTGTTCCTCATTTGCAACTAGGTATATGCCAAATATGTTCTGTGCATTTATAGTATTTGTATGCCTATAAATATACATAAGTATATACTACATATATTTATGTAGAGAGAGTGAAAAAGTTTTAAGTATTTGTCAAGTATTAAAACCTTTTCTCTTGTTAGAAAAGATCCAAATCAACATTTCCAAAATGTGTACATGCACATGACAATACAGAGTTTCACCTAGCTGCTGAAACAGCTTATGGAAAAAGTACATACAAAGCTAGGAGCAAGAATCACAAGCATGTGTGCGCACTCCTCCATTTGCATCCATAAAAAGTACTCTTTCATTTCAGAAAGAAATCTGAGAGACTCCTACACCACAGATACATTCCAGTCCTAACATTGCTCTTGCTGCTGTGCTGCTCCAAGCGTCAGGGCGCTGGAAGGATGCCAGCTGCACTTCCTGCCTGTCCCAAAACCAGGCACTTCCAGGCAGCCTCCACGCTGTTAAATGCAAATCTCAGCTGCACTTTCGTCAAATGTCTATGATCTCTTGTGCCTTATGCTTTAATGTTCTTTGCTGGTAGGCTGACAGATACTATGTTTTTGCTTAGTCCGTGATTTACCCTTGGTTTCAACTTTCACCACTTTAAAAAAAAAAAATGTAGAAACACATTCTTAAGTGAACTCAGCAGCCTTGAGAAAGACAGTCCTCCAGAGGAGCATGCAGCAGCACAGAAACATCTGCTCCCAGGATCTAAGACGTGGCAAAATTTCACTATTGAACACACCTGAATAAATACAAAATCACTCTAAAAATATTACATACAGCACCCCCTTTCCCATCCCCTTTTC